GGAAATAGCAAGGAAACGTGCGGCTTGGTTATTATGAAAGAAAACAATGTCTGCATTATTTTCCCCAAAGCTCCTCCAAACAGTGTTCATTACTGCTTTCTCTTTGGGTATTTAAACATCTTTAGCACTCTTTAATAATATTCTGCAAATGAATGTTCTGGGTAAAGTAATCACAGTAGGCTCTGATTCTGTTCAGAAATAGAACATTTTCTTTTTAAAATGCTAATGTTATCATACTAACAACCATCCCCGCTAGCTTATGATAATATCTGTTTCAAAGGCGCTTTGCGGCATTTACATCACAAAATGTTTTGTCTTTGTTCATAGTTTTAAGATGTAATTATATAAGCAACTACTCTGAATTTTATATGACAGTCCATAATTGGTCTTGACAATTTATACTTACTGATGTGTTATCTATTACATGGTATAGTATACTGTATATTTAATTATCCTAACAATAAGACATTTTTGAAGCACCTATTTATTTACTGGATATGCTGCAAGCCAGCGGCTGCAAGTGTAAAGACAAACGTTTCACCTGGTATTTAAGTAGGAAAGGATCTGTGGTGAATGAAGGGCCAAGGGATGAGATGAGTACCTTGTCCCATGAAAACTCTAGAAGGTGCTCTGTAGGACACGATTTTTCCTATTCTTACATTAGGAAAAGGGCCTGTGATGGCTAAGGGGTCAGGGGATGACATGAGTACTTAGACAAGATTTTAACTCGATCTTATAGAAAGAAAAGATCTGTGGTGGTTCAGGTGCTAAGGAATGAGGTGAGTACCTGTCTCATTCAAACTCAAAGGTGCTCTGTAAGACAAGACATTTACCTAGTCTTACAGTAGGAAAGAGCCTGTGATGGCTGAGGGGTCAAGGAATGACATGAGTACCTAGACATGATTCTAACTTGGTCTTGCAGAAAGAAAAAAATCTATGGTGGCTTAGGTGCCATAGGATGGAGTAAATACCTTGTCTCATGCAAATTCTAGAAGGCACTCTGTAAGACAAGATTTTTACCTAGTCTTACAGTAGGAAAAGATCTATGATGGCTAAGGGTCAAGGAATGACATGAGTAAATAGTCTCATACAGACGCTATAAGATCTTACCTAATTATATAGTAGAAAAGGACCTTTGGTGGCCTAGTGCAGTGGTTCTCAACCCTTTTTTTCTGTCAAGGCACCCTTTAAAATTATAGACAGTCTTGAGGCATCCCATTCTAAAATGGGGTGCCTCAAGACTGTCCATAATTTTAATGAGGCTCCTCATTCTAAAATGTGAAAAACTATTCTAATAGTTTTTTATATAATGCAACAACATCCACACATGTAGGACACCCAACATTAGAGATGATTTACTCACCCAAAGCAAATACACTTTTGCACACTGGTACTGACTAGTATTCCAATGTTTCTCTTCTCCCTCAGTTTTTCTCCATCACTGAGCTAATGTGACCCCAGCACTGATACAGGCAGCTGACATCCTCTTTAACTGATGAAGTCATTGGTTGTCAGGACGCCGGCAGCTAGAAGGTTGTAACAGTGCACATTGAAAACCTATGGCTTTGTGTAACTAAAAGGCAGACTTGCCCCACCTGCTGGCTTGTATACAATTTTTGGGCAATTTTTAAACATTTTGCCAAGGCACCCCCGAAGAAACCTCATGGCACCCTGGTTGAGAAAGGCTGGCCTAGGGGTTAAAGGATGAGATGAGTACTTAGACTCATGCAGACACTAGAAGCTCTTGTGTAAAACAAGATTCTTATCTAGTTTTACAGTAGGGAAGGAACTATTGTGGCTGAAGGGGTCAAGAGATAATGTGAGTTCCTAGTTTCATGCATAAACTAAAAGGCCCTATGTAAGACAAGATTCTTACCTAGTCTTGCAGTATAAAAAGACCTGTAGTGTACTAGGACAGCCTTTTATAACCAGGGTGCCCAGTCACCCTGGGGTGCCTTCAGGTTTCTTCAGGGGTGCCTTGGCAAAATCTATAAAAACTGCCCAAACATTGTGTACAGCAGATGAAGGAAGCTTACTTTTTAGTTACCCAAAGCCACAGGCTTTCATTGTGCACCATTACAACCTTGATGTCCTAACAACCAATGATGTCATCGGTTTATAAGGAGGGTGTTGGGTGCTTGCACAGCATCCTTATTTGCCACTCCCTGCTGCCCCTCTGTCAGCACCAACATCGTATTTGCTAAATGAGGGAGAGAAACATTGGAATGCTAGTCAGTACCAGTGTAAAGAGGTGGGTTCGCTTTGGAAGCATAAGTACCTCTAACTTTGGATTCCTATGTGTTTGGATGTTGCTGTGTTATGTAAGACTATTAGTTTAGCTTTTTACATTTTAGAATAGGGTGCCTCGAGGTTGTGCAGACTTTTAAAGGGTGCCTCAACAATAAAAAGTTTGGGAAACACTGTCCTAAGTATCAAACTTTACCATAGATGGTAGTATTTTTAAAGGACTTTTGGGGACCTAGGACCAGACTTCAATTAGAGAGGGGGTGTTCAACAATTCCCCACACATGTCAACATTTCTATTTATTGCATGTAGAAATCCAATAAAGATCATTGCTGATTAGCTGCTTGAGGTTACCAAACCTAGCACATTGCTCTTGGCTCTAGTAAAGTATAAGCCTGTGCAGAGTTTTTTTTTTTTAAACAAAATATAGATTTTGAAAATTAGGGGCAAGAAAACATTGCTAGAATCATGCCTTTATTTTGCAAATTGATGTGAGCTTCTTTATAAATAAAAATAAAAACAGGTCAAGTGTATATCCTTGGTTGGCGTTTTAAATTTAAACACAACTATGCTAATCAGCTTCTTTTAATTTTGTTGTGGAGTGCGAACATTATGCATACTAAACAAATACAGATCACATGAACCATGGTACCAATTTTATCCTAAACTTCAGTTTTTGTATGTATTCAGCAGGAATAGTGGGGCTGATATATGGGTACTGGATTTTCTGACCATAGCTAATTGACTTTATAGATTTTAGACTGGTACCTCCAATGTGTAAACAAAACGTAGAATTGAAATAGATGTTGTGGATAACATTCCTATGTTATTACATATGTCAATCTTTAAAATTTAATGTAATGCATGACTGCTGGGGTATAACTTCCCCTACTGGCAATTTCTTATTCACACTAGATTTTCTGATTTCATAAGATGAAGATGCGTTCATTGGGAACCAGTGACTACAAAACACCATTCAAACTTAATGAAACATTAAAATCTTGTGAATCTGGAACTCCTGGCAATTGTTTTGGATTATGTGGAAAAGTTAGAAGTTGGGGAGGTTTCCTTCTACTTCCTATCCTATAATAGCTGCCAAATCTATTACTATACCCTACTTTCGGTCACATCAATAGCACAGGGGAGAGTTCAAAACAGCATTGAATTACTTATTAAGACAAAACAGTTAACACTTTGGGGTTTATTTACTAAAGCTGGCTCAACCAGAATCTGGTGCAACTCTGCATGGTAGCCAATCAGCTTCTAACTTCGGCTTGTTCAATTAAGCTTTAGCAATAAATCCTGTAAGCTGATTGGTTTCTATGTGCACAAAATTCTGAATTACCCAGCTTTAGTAAATAAACCACTTTATGTTAATATTTGAGAATAGGTTTACTTTACGGTGGCCATACCCGTATAGAAGAAAAATATATCTGAAATATATTTTAAAAATATTCTTCCCAAATATATTGACATATATTGGAAATGCTACAATTTTGGCCATATTCAATATATTTCAAAATATATTTCAATAAATATATATATTGCATAGTGAAATGCATTTTTATTACAAAATATATGAAAAATATTTTTAAAAATACATTTCAAATATACTGTATGTCTTTTAAAAATACAAATCTACATTTTTGGAATGCATTTACAAATATATGTAAAATGTATGTTAAAATGACTGTTTTATATGTTAAAGCTGAAGAATATATTTTAAAAAATATATATTTTTAAAATATTTGACATATATTTAAAAAAAAAAACATTTCAACATGCAGTATATATATATATATATACTGCATGTTGAAATGTTTTTTTTTTGAAGAATCTGAAGAATATATTTTTAAAAAATATATTTTTACAAATATTTTTCATATAATAATATGTGATATATATATATATTTATATATCACATATTATTATATGAAAAATATTTGTAAAAATATATTTTTTAAAAATATATTCTTCAGATTGTTTTCATATATTTTGTAATATATAAAAAACGCATTTCAACATGTAGTATATATATATATATATATATATAGAATATGGCCAAAATTGCAGCATTTCAAATATACGTCAATATATTTGGGAAGAATATTTTAAAAATTTAATTCAAATGTATTTTTCTTCCATGTGGGCAGACGTTAAAGGGCAGTTCGACATACTGGCATGATGTGACCACCAGAAGACTTGTGTATAAACATTCACACTCTGCTTGCCTAAGCATGCATGTTTATACCTATAAATGTGGAAACAAATTGTAATTAGACAATCCTGTCTCGAGCTTATGATATCTAAAAACAAACATAATCAACTGAAAACAATCAACACAGATGACCAATATTTCTCACTTTTGATAGGCAGCAATAAAGAATACAATCTGAACGAAATACTGGGCAGGGCTGCAGTCATTTCATGTGCATTTAAATCAGCACAGAATGTACTTCAGCAAGCAGTATTATGTCAAATTTAAATGCTTAAAAAAAAAAGCAAATTTGTCAATACTATAACAGGCAGATTTTCTCAAAGTAAATTAATTTGAGAAGGTTTAGTGTCACTGATGAAAACTATGAAATCCCTTACATGTTATAAAAAATTCAGTTTCTTGTCATTTAAAAAACCCAGAAAGAATAACTAGTCTAATAGACTTCTCCTCTTATGTTTATATTACATTTTTTATTATTGTTGATAATATAATATATATGCAAAAGTGCTAATAAAGTGATATTATTTATGGACTTACCTGTGAGCCAAGAGAAAGAAATAAGAAAGACCACCATAATGATCAGAGTTCTCATCTTCATACTTTATCTTCGTCCTGCCCCTCTAAATGTGCCTACTTTGTGAATGCTATCTGGCTTTTTCATACTAAATTCTGTTTATATAGTGAGGGCCTCCTACTTCACAAGGCTAGTTTTAATGGCACTTAACCACTTGTACATACAAGTATAGGATTCTCACATTGCTAGTGAAAGGATACTAATGTGATATGAAGAGTCATAGAAGAGGGCAGCTCTTTCATTAATGTATTTGTATATAATACATTACAGCACAAATTCAAGACTGTTCAGCTTCTTAGAAATGTATTAATGGATATAGTCAACACTGGTCGAATAGCTCTGGCTGATAGCAGACAGCCGGTGTGTTTTTTGTAACTGAATTAGTAGAATTAACGATATAGTTAACAAAGTGTACTTAGGTATTAGAGCTGTAATGTGAAAATGCATCCTTACTGTAAAGCAAATTTTATACCACTGTGAGATAGTAATACCAAATTAATTTCAAGCTAAAAATGTAAACATTTCAGATAGCTATATATAGCTAGTGAGTCTGCCAGCAAGTAACTCACTTTACAGTGAAGGAAATAAGTATTTGATCCCCTGCTGATTTTGAATGTTTGCCCACTCACAAATAAATGATCAGTCTAAAATTCGAATGGTAGGTGTATTGTAACACTGAGAGACAGAATAGCAACAAAAAAATTCAAAAGAAATGCATGTCTAACAAATTATGCACTGATTTGCATGTGCATGAGGGAAATAAGTATTTGATCCCCTATCATTGAGCAGGATTTCAGGCTACCAGGTGTCTTTCATACAGGTAACAAGCTGAGATTAGAAGCAGTCTCTTAAAGGGAGTGCTGCTAATCATTTTGTTACCTGTATAAAAGGCACCTGTCCACAGGAGTAATCAAATAATCAGATTCCAAGCTCTCCACTATGGCAAAGACCAAAGAGCTGTCCAAGGATGTCAAGTACAAGATTGTAGGCCTACACAAGGCTGGACTGGGATACAAAACTATCGCCAAGCAGCTTGGTGAGAACAGTTGGTGCAATCATTTGCAAATGGAAGAAACACAAAATAACTGTCAGTCTCCCTAAGTCCTGTGCACCATACAAGATCTCACCTTGTGGAGTGTCAATGATCATGAGAACAGTGAGGAATCATCCCAGAACTACACATGAGGATCTTGTCAATGATCTCCAGGCAACTGTGACCACAGCTGGGAAAACAATTGATAACACACTACACCGACAAGGATTGAAATCCTGCAGTGCCCGCAAGTTCCCTCTGCTCCAGAAAGCACATGTCCAGGCCCGTCTGAAGTTTGCCACTGAACATCTGAATGAGGCAGAGGAGGACTGGTTGAAAGTGTTCTGGTCAGATGAAACCAAAATCGAGCTCTTTGGCATCAGCTCAACTCCCCGTGTTTGGAGGAGGAGGAATGCTGCCTATGATCCTAAGAACACCATCCCAACTGTCAAACATGGTGGTGGTAACATTCTGCTTTGGGGATGTTTTTCTGCTAAGGGGACAGGACAACTGCACCGCATCAAAGGGACAATGGATGGGGCAATGTACTATCAAATCTTGGGTGAGAACCTTCTTCCCTCAGCCAGGGCATTGAAAATGGGTCGTGGATGGGTGTTCCAGCATGACAATGACCCAAAACACACAGCCAAGGCAACAAAGGAGTGGCTCAAGAAGAAGCACATTAAGGTCCTGGATGTGGCCTAGCCAGTCTCCAGACCTTAATCCGATTGAAAATCTGTGGCAGGAGCTGAAAGTTCGAGTTGCCAAACATCAACCACAAAACCTTAATGAGAGGATCTGCCAAGAGGAGTGGGCCAAAATCCCTCCTGAGATATGTGCAAACCTGGTGGCCAACTACAGGAAACATCTGACCTCTGTGATTGCCAACAAGGGATTTGCCACCAAGTGTGAAGGGGATCAAATACTATTTCCCTCACGAACATGGAAATCAGTGCATAACTTGTTATACATGCATTTCTTTTGAATTTTTTGTTGCTATTTTGTCTCTCAATGTTACAATACACCTACCATTCGATTTTTTAGACCGATCATTTCTTTGTGAGTGGGAAAACATACAAAAGCAGCAGGGGATCAAATACTTATTTCCTTCACTGTATGTCCTACACCTTAAGAGCTCACTGACTTTACTGTATCTGTGGAGGATTTACAAGTCAAGTGAGCCTCACTAAGAGTTATGCTTAGGAGATTCTATCTTGTATCTGTTGTATAGGTAAAGGACCATTTTAAAGCACTCCTTGCCCAGTTGCTTTCACATGGGAATTAAAGACTGTAGCTTAGTCTTCCGGGCTTTAACCTTGAGAGTAATAGGACATAGAATTGCATTGTTTCAGGCAATTGACACGAAGAAATCACATCCTGGTACATGTGAATAGTCAGGTTGGTGACAAGACACACAGTGGGTCCAACCAAAAAGATTGTGAGACCTATCTAGTATTAAAAGGTCCGTCCATTGTGCTGAGTGCAAATCCATGTGGGGTCACCTGTTTATCTGTTACTAATGGCATCAGCACCTGTTTACTTGTCTTTTGGTTTTTAAGCAACTATTATTTGAATGGGACTAACTGATATAGTGCACATTAGTAGTATTTTCTGGTGTTGTTTTATTTCTTTATTGCACTTTTACATGTGGCAAACTGTTCAGCAACCTTGACTCATATTTTTGCAGCACAGTCAGTACACATTTATAGGGTTCACTAATGTGTAAATTAGACACATTTTGAAGACTGCAGCAGCCATAATCACATTCATCTGTACTTCCTTATTTTTGATTTTGGCCTGCGATGTAGCATTTTCATTCTTATTATTTGAAACATGATCTACCATTATCTCTTAGCTATACCAAAGCCGTTGCGAGTTATTGAATAGACAAGAGACCTTTCTCGCAGCGATTGTGTGTGTGTTTTCTCTCCATGTGCACAGTATGGGTATATATTTTTTTTTATAGTATGCAGCAATCAGATTCTGACTTAAACCACCTCAGTATTGGACACTTTCACCCCTTTCCTGCCCAGGCCATTTTTAAGTTTTTAGTGCTGTCACACTTTGAATGACAATTACTCAGCCCAGTGGCGTCACATGGTTTTACTCCACAATAATTATTTTCCCATTTTCTGAAAGTGCGCCAAAGATGGAGCATGTGGGACTTTTAGTACACTTTCAGAAAATGCAGAAAAAGGGGCTGCCTTAATAAGTCTAAAATTTGGGATATTTGGGTAGATTCCTCTGCAACAACCTCCTTCAATCGACAGCGCTGTGTGATATGCCCTCTGTCTGGGTTATTTTGTTTGTTCTCCTCTTTATATTCACTGCGCCATTTTTTTCTGGTGGTATGAGCCCGCTACGTACTATTTCTGCCACAACAAATTATGGCGAGCCATCATCTTGACCATTGCTGTTTAGGTTGCCACGTTCTTGAATTGTGTGGTTGCACTATTGTTTGTTTTATGTGGTTTATATGTTAACTCAGCCTGGGTATGCCCAATAGGCTTTGTTTTGTATTTTTCTATTGTCAAAACTAATAAACAGAATGAAAAAAGAAAAAGAAAATGCAGAAAAAAAACGTACAACCTAATAGAAATCTATAGGACTGCAGCTATGACTGTGGGTAAAACGCAGGAAAACTGCAGATACACCAGCAATGCATCCAAACCATAGCAAACCAGTGTGAAACCATTTAAAAGATCACCTTTTGGCCAAAAATAGTAAATGCACATTTTTTGCATGTAAAAAAAATGTGCATTTATTCTTTTTGGTTGCAAGAGTCTGGAAATCATTGCACCAGCACCAGTCTCCTGCAGCCCTGTCAGTATATCTGCTTGTCCATACGGGATGTACTGGCGAGAAAATATACTGATAGGAAGAATCAATTAACTACCATGGCGCTCCACAGTGCCGTAGTTGTTCATTGAGAACTACAAGCTGACAGCGACTAAGGCTGCCAGGACTTGTAGTTCATTCATTCACAGAACACTGTGAATTTATTATTTGGTTTTTGGACAGGAGTCACTAGCGTCTGGGTGGCCCTGGGTGTCACCCATGTGCAGTCTGCACCCCCTATAGCAACACCACTGACTCAGTCATGCAACACTATGCCCAAATGACATTTTTATCACTTATTCCATTTTTTTCCCTTTTTGGGAAGTAGACAGTTCAAGGAATTTAGTAAGAGGCATGGTGAGTTTTTTTTTTAAGTTGTAATTAAGCAAACTTTGTTTTTTTATTTCATAAAATTTTCAATTTAACAAGTTATGTCTCGCACACGGCATAATCATACTTAGAATTACACCCAAAAAAAACATTCTGCTATGCCTTTTGAGTATGGGTATAGTGTGTGTGAGATTTTTTCACAGCCTAACCACAAAAAGGGGCCCAAAATCCAAGGAGCACCATGGGGCTTTTAAGGAGCATAAAACGTAAATTATGCATCTAATTTATTGACTACCTATCCCACTTTTGGAGGTTGTGGAGCACCATGACAGCGGAAACCCCCTACAAAATTTTTGCCACAACTTTCTGAAAAATACAGGAAAGAAATTTTTTTTTTTTTTTTTTACACAAAGTGGTCAATTAATAAGATATTTATAACACACATCATAGGCATACTTAGAATTATACTGTATTTGAAAATCCTGCGCAGTGGACAGAGGAATAAGAACCTGTGGGTTGCTGCTAGCAATTAACACAAATATGTGTGTGGTATTAGGATAATTGGAATGCTGCGCTGCCACTCCTATAACTGTGAGTCACTAGTTAAGGGGATATTAAAAAATATATTAAAGCAAGTAGTGGTACTACAATGCACCTCCCTATTCAGTGTGTGATCTCAACTCGGGAGATAAAAAATCCCAATCGTGCGTTTTGTGTTGCAATGCACCTATCTCTTAACTAAATATTACTACAAACCACCATATAGCATGGTGCTACAATACATCTCCCTCTCAAGTGAATAACTAGTGCGACACTT